TATATATATACTATCTTCCTCTCTCAACTCAACTCCATAATATCTATAGTGATGCATAAGAGTGTGTTTTGTCCAGATTACAGTTCACAGCAGAAGAGCTAGAGGTACAGGGGAACAATATAACATGTTTCAAAGACTGAGAAATACAGTGGGAACTTGAAGACTGAATGATAAAAGGAAACAAACATTCCATCAGCTTCTTGCATTTTCCATTTGGAATTTCCAAATTCACAGTCAGTTCTCCATCATCTGTGCTAAAGAATTATAATGATGATGTGAGAAATACTGTAAAGTACAGTAACAGTGTTCTCCAGTCTGCAAAGTATGGCTTTAAAGTAGGTGTGAAGCGGAAAGAGGCAGCCAGCCCCAAAGGACACACATGCAAACCAAATCCACCAGAGACTGTAAAATTCATGAAATGACATCACAGCTGAATAACTAAAAGTCATCAAACTCTAACATGGAGTTCCTTCTATGAAATGTCAAAGGAATCTCCCAAGTAGCTTTTACTATCGATTAGTTGAATACCTACCTTTTCAAAGGGACCAAAAAAGAAAATCTAGCTCCCTGCCTTCAAACAGATCAAATATTATTGATCCCTTTTTAGAGATCAGGCAATTGAGGCCCAGAGAGGTTAAAGGTCCCTATAGCTATAAAATGGTTTTAAAAAACTGTAGGTACAGCAGGATTCTAACAGCAGAAAGCAAGATTTGGGTTAGTCCAGACCAAGGAAGGAGCTGGGCATGGCCTGCATTTTGGATGGAAAGAATTGTATTGAAAAAGGAACACCTCTTGGACAGTCTTTCCTAAGGGTTTCCCATCTTGCTTTGTTATTACTGCTTCTAGTGACTTCTTTTGAGCACTTGCAGAGAAAATGCCTTGAAAGGACAACTAACTTTTAGCTATGTTCTGAATGATACTCAGTCAAAAATCTTACTGTGGCTAAATTGCAGCATCTTATAGAGACAGCCTAAATGTCCATCAGTGGAAGCATGGGTAAACAAACTTTGGTACATACACACAATGGAATACTATGCAATGTTGAAGATTAATGATAAATCTGTAAAACACCCATAACATAGATTAACCTGTAGGACATATGCTGAGTGAAGTAAATCAATCTCAAAGGACAAATATTGTATGAGACCACTATTGTAAAAGCTCATGAAAAGGTTTTCATACTAAAAGAAACATTCTTTGAAGGTTATCAAGGGTGGGAGGGAAGGGAGAGAGTAATTCACTGGCTTGCGAGTAGATAAATGTTAACCCAGGTAACAGGGAGGGCAATATATAAGAAGTGGAAGGGAAATATACAAGAAGAGGGAGTCTGGCAGAAGAATGATGAAGACAGGTGAAGTGTACACAGGGAGGTAGGTATATAAGGGCTAAACAGGATAGAAATATATAGTGATATATATATATATAACCTTGGAATAACAGTGTTCTGTGTGTAGATACATGGACAGTGACACAGAGTATGAGAGGATGAGTTGGTTATATATATTAATATATCCCACAAATATATAGGAGTTTAAAAGAGGATATTTGGACATTGACAACCACAAGGAGGAAACTGTTTTTGCATGGAGGGGATGCAATCACTGAGAAGAAACAAATATGATTCATTGAATGTAAAATTGAAGATCTTGTGTATGAACATTCCTGAAATTCACAATAGAAAGTTTAATAAAATACAGCATCTTATGAAAGAGAAAGGCTGTGTGCTGGTGGTCAGGAGGCAGGCTTGCAGAATGTACCCTTTGGTTGTTTAAATGATTATATATTCCTGAGGGCTTTTGTGTACATTCAAAACAAAAAAAAAAGAGGGAATAGAAGCAAATACTGTTAAATGATGATGCATGGAGGAGACTGTAATCATTGCAATGAAATTAAATACAATAGGATGAGTGTAAAACCAATGTTCTCCTATGTAAACGATCACTCAAGTCACAATAAAAACTTTTTAAAAAAAGAGAGAGATTATTAAAGCTTTAAGTCTGAATATTATAAATCATAGAATATCAAGAGCATATGTTAAACATTGAGACTTTCTGTATTTATATAAAATTTTTGTTAATCATATAAATTAATATTACAAAACTAAAAAAAATTAGAACATATCTTAAAAAAAAAAAATACAGCATCTTAGGCAAAACACTTGGTGCAAAGAAAGGGCTCGGTAAATATCAATTCCCACCTTCAACCTTCCTTTCTACTGCCTGGTTTCTTCCCTGAGGAACAAAAGAGTCATATTACCACCAAGCCCACTTACTGATAGGCAATGTCACAGAAATCTCTTTGATCCATAAGAAAGGTCTGTATATCTCGAACACAAAATTGGCAATCCACAGACATATTGCAGCTTCTCCCAGCAGTGTGGATGATGATGACATACTTGGCGGGGAGGTTCATTTTAGGGCACTGTGTTTCTCTGGCTCCCCAAGTAGATCGTGTGATGATGTTAGGGCAAACTATGGTATGGTGAAAAATCAAGAAAACAAGAATTTTATATTAACAACCGTGGGGGGGAAATTTTTTTTTTTTTTTAAGTAGCTGTTGAGATAGTTTATATACCACCAGAAACTTCACAGAGTTTGGTTACTTGGCTTGGAGATTTCACCAAACATTCCAATAAGTTGGTCTAATAACAAGTTTAGTGCTTCTTTTCTACCCCTTACTTCATTGCATAGTGCCTGGGGTCTTAAAAGCTTGCAAGTAGTCATCCAAAGTATGAACCTTTGGTCTCTATTTTCCTGGAACAAGGAGAGTTATGGACTGTGTAGTCTTGATGTGGTGCAGTAGGATCAGCATTAGACTGCTAACTGCAAGGTGAATGGTTCAAATCCACCAACTGCTCCTTAGAAAACTTGTAGAGTTTCTATGAGTCAAAAGAGACTTGAGTGCACTTAACAGTGTGGACTGTTTGAATAATTGCCTACATGAACAACTGCCTCCTTGCCATGACACCAGAAGAAGTGGAAGGTGCCCAGCTACCAAGCCTGAACTTTTGGATCAAAGATTTTATAGAAGAATCCTGATCAAAAGGGGAGAAATGCAGAACAAAATTTCAAATTTTCATGGACTACAGACTTTCTGTAGTCATGGGTGCTGGATAAAAACCTGAAACAATGGTCCTGAGATCATATTTAAAACTTAAACCAATATATCCCCTGAAGTCTTCAAACCAAATAAATATTTAGCTAAAATAGTAAAAATAAATAAATAAATAAAGTGCCTGCCTTCACATTATGCTCTCTTCAGAACTATCTCTCTGGGATCAAAGTAACAAGAGTAACTCAAAAGATTAGATAATGAACTTAGGGGGTAGTGAGTTTCTGTTAATGGAGGAGAAACAACTCAGAAAAAGAAAGTGAGAATGGCTGCATAACCCAATGAATGTAAAAACGGTTGAATTGATGTATGTTTTGCTGTGTGAATTCTCAACAACAGCAAAATAAATTTAAAAAAAGAAAATGGAAATGTGCCTTTGCCCACAACTGGACAATCTCACAACTGCAGACTGCAGTACTCCTCAGTCTCTCCCCAACTCCAGTACTCACTGGTACATAACAACATTAACTGTGGGATTCTGGGAAAGACAGAGTATCTATCTGTGTCAAGTGATTGGAATGATGAACAGGGACAGACTCCATAGGGTTTGATAACAACTGCAGAAAACATCGTGTGAGCAGAAGGGAAGGAACTGTTGGTTACACAGAGGCATGGTCATTTTACTTACAGGCAGAGTTTGCTACATGGTTGAATATTCATTGAAAATGTATGCAGGCATATGTACTCATGTAACAAAGTCAATATGCAGAAAGTGACTGATTCTATGAATTGATTACATGTGGATAAAAATAATTGAAATTCATAAAGAACCCTTCAAATGTTAAAGAATTATAAATAATAGCCACATGAAATCAAGAAAAACTTTGCTTCAAGATTTATCATTTTTAAAAAGTTAATTTAAAATTTATTATTGTCTGCAAAAAAAGGTTCACTATAGCAGAGACTTCTTCATTTTCAGTAAGCGAGGTTGTATCATCTGCATATCGCAGGTTGTTAATGAGTCTTCCTCCAATCCTGATGCCATGTTTTTCTTCATATAACCCAGCTTCTCGGATTATTTTCTCAGCATACAGGTTGAATAAGTATGGTGAAAGAATACAACACTGTCGCACAC